TGTCGGCAAATCCACTTTCATTTTGTGGCTTGTGACGTAAAACATAATTTGCATGTAAATTAATCAAAACATAGGCTTTGCTTAAGTGCCAAATTGTATTTGATGGAAAACCAAAACTTTGACTTGGTGACAAATCTTGTAACATTAAAAGGAAACATGATCGCAATTATTTTACTCAGTAGATATTGACAACAGATATTAAAAACACATTCGTTTTTAATAATATATTATTATCTTATTCACACATCATCAGTGCTTAAATAGGAAAATTGGATATTGAGACTATTTTTTTTCCTCAGAAAAATTCTCACTATCAGTGGGAGAAAAACAAAACAAATTTTGGAGGAGTGCCTGACGACAAAGAAGCGATAAAATTTTAAGCAAATAATCCCTCCTTTTCCCTATGCTCTTACCCTCTATGTTCTATTGATTTTGTACAATGGAATATTTTTCTTTTAATGCCGCGTAGGGAAAAGACAGTGTAATCAAAGCAAGAAGAATCTAATAAAGAGCTAGTTGGATATTGACTTTTAACATATCATTTGGACTATTGATTAAACTATCAGGTTAAGGGTTTAGCAAATTATTATTATTATTATTATTATTTTGCTTTATGAACCAAATTGGCATTCTTGATTTCAGTGGCAAGCTGTTGGGGCTATACAACACACGGTGCAAAAGAATAAATACTCTTAATATTAAGGTGGACAACAACAAACAACAACAAAACCCAATTCCCATATGTATGGGGTAAGGGGGAGGTAGGGTAGTAGGCTACCCCCAACGCCAGGTTGAGAGTAGCTTCCGTGGAAGACCTCCAGCAGTCAGAAAATTAAAAATTTAGATAAAATGCAATGCATGTATAAATAAATACATAAATACATAGCGAAACAGTATTCATATGCAGTCATTAAAATCATATGTGCGTCTGTAACGGGAATTAATCCCTGCATAATAATCCCTGCGAAAGAATCTCTGCATATAGACAGAAACATAAGATCCGACTAAATTTAAAAGAGGAAACATGAAGAGAATGATACACAAAAGTCAACGTTAGCAAGCCCAGTTCTAATCCTTCATAAATACCAATAACAGAAACGTATAAAAAGTATAAGTCATGGGAAATACTACAAAGACATTAAAAGAAGACAGAGATGATACACCCTATAGATGTGACCCACACTACTCGACTACCCTAGTCTTTAGCCTCCATATTTTCCTATCAGAGGTCATGTCTTCGGTAAGGGCTAAATCCCTCAAATCAGATCTTAAGCAGTCTTCCCACTTTCGCCTTGGTCGTCCTTTCCTTCTGGCACCGTCGACTGTAATCGACTCTACCCTCCTTACCGCATCCGACGGTAGTCGCCTAAGGACATGCCCAAACCACCGTAGTCTTCCCTCCCTCAATTTTTCAGAAACAGACACCACCCCCAAGGACATCCTAATAGCAGAGTTTGTCGTCATATCCCTCAGAGTCCTACCACATGTCCATCGAAGCATTCTCATTTCTGCGGCCTCAAGCCTCCTTACGTGATCCTTCTTGGTTGCCCAACATTCTGATCCATACAACAGCGCTGGTCTTATTGCCATTCTATAAAATTTTCCCTTAAGTTTTAGAGGGACCTTCTTGTCACACAGAACTCCAGTAGCGGCCCTCCACTTTAGCCATCCCGCCTTTATACGGTGTGTAACGTCATCATCTACACCCCCATCTTTATGTATCATAGACCCTAGGTACTTGAAACAATCCTTTGAGGGGAGAACGTGTCCTTCTATGCATACTTCTACATCTTCATCGTTTTGGTTCCCATTGAAGTTTGAACATAAATACTCTGTCTTTTCAATATTGATCCTTAAACCTTTTTCTTCCAAAGCAGTCTTCCAGGTAGCCAGTCTGCTATTCAAATCAGATTTTGTTTCAGCAACTAAGACAATGTCGTCAGCGAAAAGCATACACCATGGTACACCGTCTGGTGTCGCACAAATGATGTCGTCCATAATCAAGGCAAAGATGTAAGGGCTAAGAGCCGACCCCTGGTGGAGTCCGATTTCCACCGGGAATGCCTCGGTGTCGCCAACTGTAGTCCTGACGTAAGTAGTAGATCTACAGTACATATCACGAATCGCCCGGATATAAGCAGTTGGGATCCGTCTCGTTTCCAAAGTCTTCCAGATCGTATCGCGGGGAACACTATCATAAGCCTTCTCAAGGTCAATGAACGCCATGTGAAGATCTCTAGACTTTTCCCTATATTTCTCCATAAGCCGTCGAAGTAGATGAATCGCCTCCGTGGTAGACCTGCCTGGCATAAAGCCAAATTGGTTTTCCGAAACCCTAGTAACTTGTCTCAACCTAGCCTCTATCACCCTTTCCCATAGCTTCATGGTATGGCTGAGGAGTTTAATACCTCTGTAGTTACCACAACGTTGGGGATCTCCTTTATTTTTATAGATTGGTATCACCGTAGACTCTCTCCACTCCTCTGGCATCTTGGCAGTCTCTAAAATAATATTAAAGATGTTGGTCAACCACTTAACTCCCTCTTCTCCTAGGGCCAACCACACAGTGATAGGAATTTGATCAGGACCGACAGCTTTGTCCCTTCCCATCTTTCTAAGAGCCATTTTGACTTCCTCAAACCCAATCCTACTTGTAGGGCAGTCATTGGCCGTAGTATGATAGTCGGCTAACCCATCAACGATACTATCTCTACATGGAGAGGCACCGTCATTAAATAAGCCAAATAAGTAACTACCCCAAACCCTCTTAATATCGTGATCTTTCGCTAAAAGAACACCATTGTTGTCCTTAATAAACCTAATGTTACCTAGATCCTTTTTCCTAATCTCCCTAGATTTTGCAAGTCTGAAGATGCCATTTTGTCCTTCCTTGGTGTCTAATCTCTTGTACATTTCCTCGTATGCCTTATCCTTTGCTTTAGCTACCGTTTTCTTGGCTTCCCGCTTTGCCTCCTGGTATCTTTGTTTAGCTCTCGACCTTTCTTCTTCGTCATTGCATTGTAGAAACTCCTTGAAGCAAGTTTGTTTTGTCTTCACCTTTGTTTGGACTTCGTCGTTCCACCACCACGATTCTTTATGTTCCTTGGCCTTCCCCGTCGACAACCCAAGGGTATTTTTGCCAACATCTCTGATGGAATTTGCCATATTTTTCCATAACATATCTGCATGTTTTGAGTTTGAAGTTTCAAAACTTGTATTAGACAAAACCTTACTCCTAAAGTCATCAGTTTTCGCTCCATGTAAGTTCTTCCAGAGGATCCTAGGTTTACCAAGTTTAGCCCTCCTATGAGTGCTCCGCCCGTGGGGTACGCGGTACACCAAAACCAACAATTTGTGTTGTGATGCACATGCCTCTTCAGGGAACACCTTACAGTCAATGCAAGCCCATCGTTCCTGATTTCTAATCAAGATGTAGTCGATTTGGGTACAATGTCCCCCGCTATGAAACGTAATCAAGTTCGCATCTCTCTTATTAAAGAAGGAGTTAGTGATCACCAAATCGTGAGCAGTAGCAAAATCAAGCAACGTACGCCCCCCATCGTTCCTGCTACCATAACCGAAACCCCATGAACACCGTCATACCTGTCGGTTGCACTTCCTATATGGCCATTGAAGTCTCCCCCTATGAAAACTCTTTGGTCCTCCGGAATACTCCTAAGTATATCATCTAACTGATCCCAGAAGCAACGTTTCTCCCCCTCCCCTAGGCCAACGTGTGGGGCGTACACTGAAAGGACATTCACTACTTCCTCTTCTATAATAACCTTAATCATCATGATCCTATCTCGGTATCTGCAAACTTCAACTACATTTTCCTTGAGCCTAGAGGATGCCAAGATACCCACCCCATTTCTAGCGTTATCTACGCCTGAATACCACAACTTGTACCCATTACACTCTCTGGCGCGAGACCCTTTCCACCTAGTCTCCTGAATACATGCAAAATCTATTTTTCTATTATTAAGTACGTCGGTCAGCTCCAGCAGCCTAGCATTTAATGTGCCTACATTCAGCGAGCAAACTCTTAATCTAGTCTCCTTGTCACCACTCTGTCGAGCCCTCCCCCTATACGCCCCATGGGATCTAAAAGAATGACATGACCTCAAGTAATCATCTGTAACAGAAGCTATGAGGAACTATGAAAAAAGAATCCAAATAAGACAGAAGATGCACTAATAAAACGCTAGAGAATTGAGGAGTACTAAAAATCCTAGTTGGTTACTTAATAGGATTTTAAGAAAAAATAATACTATCTTATTTAACTATAGGCCAATATCTAGAAACTATAATTTAAAATGTTCAATAAATATCCGAGCTAAGCAAAAAAGGATTAAAATTGTAACACGAGATATAAGAGTAATGAAATCCTACTCAACTAGTTAAAAAACATCAAACCCAAAGCTGGTAAAAAAAGATCAGTATAAAAACAAGAGAAAAAACAGCAAGAAGCTAAGTCAAAGAAAGCAGATCCAACAACAACAAGATTAAGAAATATTAAGTACAAAAATATGCAAGGGATATGCGAAACAACGACAGAGTTAAAAGGGATATATCAAAATTCGTGGATGCGAAATTAACAATCTTTGTTCAGATAAAAATCTGATAAAAACCGTGCTATAACACAAAATCAAACCTTTACCTATCAAGAAATTAGCATGCAAAATATTATGAAATTAGAAGAAAAAGAGAAAATCCAGAATTTTTGTTCAGAAATTAAACCGCTGACGAAGGCGATCGTTGCTCTACGAGGAAGGTGGTCCGATCGAACTGCAAGGCGGAAGAAATTGAGCCTGGAAAGTTCGTTCGGAAGTGCGAGAAAACTGAGCTGAAAACAAATAATAATACTAAAAATACAGAAAGTTAGATTCAAATAAGCGAAAAATATAATAATAAGCTGTCCCCTGATTCTAAACCGATTACCCAAATTACGATGGAAGTATCAAGAATGATAAAACCCCAGGAAGATCTGGGATCTGAAGATTCTGAAGTTTCGGTACTTAAATCAAACGAGGGATTAAACCAAGCAGAAGAAGAAATTATCCACGGATCTGTTCAAACTGACGTAGTACTGGAAATGGAATTTGGAAATTTCGAACAAGGCTGCAAATGCTTGGTGTATTATACCCAGTTGAAGATAACAAAAGACAAAAACAAAGTTGAAACTCTGTCCACAAACGGGCACTGTTGTAGAGAAACTCAATCGGATGAGGACAGGTTTTACAAATGTTGCTAGCAGGAGAATACAAAAGCGAGATTTTTTAGGAAAAATGGTTTTTTTTAACAGATAACCCTAAAAATTAAATAAAAGGGGAAAAGGGAAGATTCAAAAAGCGGATTAGTAGTTTGGAGATTTTGCAGTTGCAAGTTGAGGCTTCATAAAGGTGCAATTGAAGTTTGACTTAAGCTTGTTAGTTTCTTCTAACAATTAATTATTACAGTTTCATATCACAAAACGACAACAGGAAAGACCATAATAAGAAAAACACGGATTTGGCATGATGATTAAGGTAAAAGAACGAAAAGATTGCAGTCGGCAGCAACTTAATTAAGATAGTTTAACACAAACATCTGCTGCAGCAACCTACACTGAATACAGTATATAAGTTCGGATCCTTTCAAGTTGGCCGACAGTCTATGCCGAGGCAACCGATAGTTAAGACACACTATATGCTAAGCCTAGCTAGTGCATGCAAGAAAAGTGTAACATCTTTTTGTTAAGGCAAAAGTTGTTTGTTTTGAAAAAATGTCGAGATTTGGAGATGCCCGAGGCATAAACACTATGATTAAGGAATACTGTCTTTTCTTTTCTCTTTTTAAATCTCATGTCCAATATGTCTTCCTCTTCTTCACGGTGTTTGAGACAGAACGAGTGGGTTGATGTTCAAACACAGTATATATATCTTCCTATAGGACTTTTTGGTATCGCATCAAATAGAGAAATTCTTTCCAAAAATGAAAAAAAGAAGTTATTATGCCTTGGTTGGTGGCATGGCCTAGAATCCCGCTACTTGTTTGATATTAAGAAAGTACCGTTTTGGAAGATAATTGGGTATTGGAATATATACACATATGGGACCCCTGGTTTTACGAATAAACCGACCCCTGTCTGAAAGAGAGCCAATGGTGGCCTGGGAATGAATTTCAAGTTTCAACAAGATATATCATTGGAAAATTCTCCCCTTCCTTGTCTCAACAAACTACTTGATGTTATTCCCTCAACTAAAAAATCATTTATGTATATATTTGTGTATAAATGCTACCCTTTTGTCGGTTAATTTCAATTGTAATTGATAGCTACATGTCTTCTCTCTGAAGGGTATATCCAAGCTAATTCAATAAATACCTATATATATATATTATGTTCAGTCAAACAATTACTACATTTTGTAGTTGGTTGATTATGTATAAATGCATATATATATATATATATATATAGGTATAGCAACGTGCTGGTAGGACTAAAAATATTTTGGTCAAATTCTATCATTAGTCTCTGAATTATGCGTGAGTTGTGGATTTAGTTCATGTACTTTAATTTGATCAATTTAAATTTATGTACTTTTAAAATTTGAAATTATAATCCTCTCCATATAATACATAAACAATATGATTAAATTATATGAACTTAAACTTTTTAAAGTAAAGATTATGAATTAAATTTACACTTGCGCATAATATGGTGTCTAGTAACATAAGTTGACTTAACATATTTCACGGCTACCAATTGAATCAAAATTAAAATTTTAAAATATAAAAAGAACATGGATTAAAATTGAACGGTTTAGATTATAGGGATCAAATCCACAACTTATGAATAGTTTAGGGACTAATGGAAGAATTTGGCAAAAAGTATTTTGTAAGACAGACTATTTTGTCCTTTTCCTTTAATAGTTACAAGTAATCCCATAATGGGTTGATGAAACAAAAAATGCATGGACCGAGTAGTACCGTTGGTTCAAAACCTAAAAACAATCCGACAGATCATGTGGCTTGAAGATAATTAGAAAACAAAGCCGCTTTGATCATTGAAGAAGGGAATGATTATATTGCGGTTGAAAGGAGAGATTAATGAAATCAGCTAGAGAGTTTTTGCAAGGCTTCTAGAGGGCACATTTACGAATATGGAAGACACCTTGATTCAGTAAAGATAAGGGTCCCTCATCGAAGAATAATTTTCACTTTCTTATTTATCATCTCTCCACACATATATATATATATATTCATCGACATAAATGCTAGCTGTAATAATAACCTGCTGACTTTAGGTACTAAAGGTATGATTATATGTAGGGTTGTCCTGTTATATAGCAGCATTCACCACGTGGCACAATGGGTCGGATGACGACGATGATCTAGTGAAACTCCACAGGTCTATCTCGCTGTTGTATTGAACAGCCGGTAATTGGAGATCATGATGTTGATGATCGGTGCTGGGGTTGCTGTAAGCCATGGAGGTGTCACTGAAGCAGGCCAATTGCCTAGATGTCTCTGTTTGGCCGTTGAGTTGGGAGGCTACGAGCCGGTCTAGCGCAGCCCAGTTTGTGAGCCGTGACTCATTGCCACTCACCTGGTTTGTAATCGAACCTCCATTGTCCATCATCATCATCGGCCGATAACTGTTTCTGCTGCTGGTCGAGTTCGGGCTCTCGAGGCTCGGGAGTTTCATGAATGAGTCCGGGTCTGTCTCGATTGGCTTGATGAATCTCGAACTGTTGTTTGCCATACCATCTTCATTGCAATTCCGTCGCATGTGTTCGAGTATCTGCTCCAAGTCTCCTTCATTACACGAACCGAACATATGGTTCCTGGTGTCTGAACTCAGAGATGAGCTGATGGGATGATCATCCAGGGTTTTGTGATGATTTTTCTTCTTGAAGATACGACATACAACCCATCCTTCTTCTTGTGTTCCCTCTCCCATAGCATTGGAGACCTTGATTTATAAAAAAAAAAATAGTACCAGAGTTAACATTATACTAAATATTTTTCTCCTTATCCTGTCCTGTTACAACGTCAAACACCAAAGATAAAAGTCTTAAAGTTTCGACAGTTATTGTGTCCTGATAGAAAAGCATATACTAGTAATGAAAAAGGTTGACTTAAAGGCTTACTTACCGTTGTTTCAACGATGTTATCGTCTAGTCTGTATTCATGCATGATCCAATTAGATTTTTGGCCATGAGGGGCTCGTCCTTTATAGAAAACCAACGTTTTTCTCATCCCGATTCTACGGAAATTGCTATATATGATCTTGTCTCGTCCTGTCGCCTTCCAGAACCCGGCAGCGGTGGCGCGGTTCGTGCGAGTTCCGGTGGGATACTTTTTGTCTTTGTGGCTAAAAAAGTACCAATCATTCTGAGGAGTGGATCCGATTTTGCAACTCTCTGCATATAAAAGTCAATTATCGATAAAGTAAAATGGGAATGGAAAGTATATAAAAATCAATAATGACACTGCATATGTACCTTGAATATCCCAGGGCTCGAGCTTATTAAGATCAACGTCCCGAATCACATCTAAATCAATTTTCTCATAGGAAACTTTCTTTCTGAGATAGTATTGCAAGAGCTCCTCCTCGGTGGGGTGAAATCGGAATCCGGGTGGGACTTGGGACTGTCCATTTACAGATATGCTCATGTTTTCCGGCAATGAGAGAAGTGAATGATTCCAATTGTGGTGTGGGCAATGGAGTATGTAGAGAAGGGTATATATATATGTATTTGCAGAACACAAAAAGGCCAAATTGACACACAAATTAATAAAAATGAAAAAGGAAAAGGGTTTGGGTTATCGATGGGGACTGGTGGTGCTGACTAAAGGGCCAAAGGAGATGAAGTAGGGTGGGGGTTCTAGTTTGAGCATGCATTGGAGAAGAGGCAGGCTACCTAGATGGAAAGAGAAACTGCATTATTTTGGGATAAAATGTGGAAGTGGGGGATCCAAATTGTGGGTATCAACTATCAAAAGGAGAGGGGTTGTAGGTCCCAATGTGGGGGCATGCCTGCATCCAAACTACGACCTTCGACCTTAAAATCTCCTTAGAAAACCACCTCTTTAACTACCCAACCATTATCATCATCACCTCTTCCCTTTCTTTCTCCTTATCAACCTCTCTTCTCCCTCGAACCAGGTTCAGTTCACACAATCACATATAAACGTAAAATTTTATATTAAAAATACAAAATTATATCATCAATAGAGAATATAAAGAAACTACGTATATTATGTTAAAATTTAAAATTTTCAAAAATTATGATTGTATTTTCCAATACCCCCTTCATTCCATCTTGCACGTAACCAAACTTTTCTAATAAAAAAATAACATAATTCAGATTTGAATAAGTAAAATTTTATTTTCCGGTCATTATTAGCATTTCTTGATTTCACCTTTGGTTCTCCATCTATTTTAGGATTGTTTTATTAACTTTTTGCTTTCACTTATTCCATGCATAACTGTGAAAGGCTGATGATTGTCTCTTGTTATTTTCATTCTACTGAATAGTATTAGATATATTTCCCCCCTATGCTGTGAACTGTACTTTTGAATGATGAAATCAATATATGTGATGAATTATTGGCAACACCTTTTGGACAAAATACACTAAATCACTTGAAATGTTTTGTTTACTACTTCCTCTTTTATTTAACTAAATATTATTACTGGTTAGGAGCTGGAATGAATTTAATTGCATAACGTTTACAATTAACTGTTTAATATTAAACGGTTAATTTTTGTGCATTGTATTTTAATTTTAAAACATATAATATAATGATTTTCTAACGATTATATGCTGTCAAAAAAAACTGAAATTATTAATTTTTTGGGTTTTAGGGTAACCTTATCCCCAACGTCGCAAGCAATGGCACGTAATTGTGTATTTAGTTCAAGGAAGTCTCTAAGGTCACCATTCTAATCATTTTTATGCTCTTAATTCCTTAACTCTAATAATAATCTTTGGTTGATATGACGATGGACCAACCACTTTATAGTTTACTTACTCACCGCCATATTTTACCTTTCATTATTTACTCATCTTTTTATCTTTTATCGTGACACCTAAGTTATAAGTGAACAAATATTTTATAAATATATACATACATATATTTAAATTTA